AGAATTGTTTAAATAAGCCCTGTATGGCTATAGCAAAGAAATCATTTTTGGCTAGCATGTTAAGTTCACAAAGAGGATCCAGATCAGGTGCTGCCAGGTCACTGATAGGACTCACTGAGCCTGTTCCAGATCTGGCAGTAGATCTCCAGGAACCTGTCGTTACATTAGGAGCATGCCCTGATGTTGTCAAGCATGTGTACAAGAACATTAGGGAGCCATACAAACTAGTGAGCTGCTGCAGTGAAATTCCAGTATAATGGACTAGCCTGCCTCATCATTTTTTCACTCTGATTTTAAGAGCGACTTTCAAATCTGCACTTTGTAGTTTGATTATTTTCATTTCAAGCAAACAGTGTGGCATCCTTTTGTTCCAAAGACATTACCCAGTCCGTATCAGTATAGATTTCTAGCATGATTTTTTTCCCATTGAGATCTTTCCTTTAGTTTTTTTTTTAAAAATCCACATTTTCTGTCTTGTTATTTGGGCTTTTGGAAGCAGCCAAATTTTGGGGGGAATAACATCAATGGCCAACCCATGGCCTTTAATACCTTATATGTAATTTAATGCACGTCTAAAGGTAGCTAACTTTAACTCTAGCTAACAAACTTACCCAGATGCAAGCCTTTATTTGACAGACAAGTAGTATTAAGTAGTTTTAGGCCTCCATCTAGAGCTGTCGTAAAATTTTACTTACTAAAAAATGTATTTAAAGATGGCAAAAGGGAGCCCATAAACAACCAGTTGGGCCAATGAATAAATGAAACAAAGCAAAAATGAAATAAATTTTTGAAAGGAATTAAACATGTCATAGAGGTTGAGTAAGTTGTTTTTAAAGACATCTGCTGCTGGTTCCAAGTTAATGAACGATTCACAGATGTCATCTCCCGGGCCAGACTATCACTACTCCAGACTTGGGGATTAAACCTTACAGCTTACGGAGAGGAACTCCACTGAAGTGGATTCATTAAGCACAAGACCACCACTAAAGCACACATTGCAGCATCCACAGTGGAAAAAAGAAAGTACAAAGAATCACATCGCACATTTGATGCGATGCGATCAAACTCTTATAGTTATTCTTTAATATCGGTCTGTCCCTTTCCACTCATTTGTTTTTCTGTGACTGTGAGAAAAAGGACATTGCTGCAATTCTCAGTATTGTTGAGGAGGTTAACAGTCATGCACACATCAGAAGGAATGGTCCTCCCTGTGCAAACCACTTCTGTAAAGTGTGTGAGTGTGTGTATGCCTTCCTTTGTGCGCATTTTTTTAATGTTTGTGCTGAATGCGGTTAGGTGGCTGAGACTGAAGCTCCCTTTTAATCTGACAGAGAGCATTTTCATTAGTTCTGTTGGGTCCTATTATTAAAGCCTGCTTCAAAGGCACAACAAGTGAAACCACTAACAGGAAATGACCCAGTGGGCTTGAATTCGGATAGATCAGTGCTTTTAAAGCAGGTTGGGATGGCGTTTAAGCGTATCTGCTGTCGGCCATGTATGGAGCTCACAAGACAGTAGGAGGATAACAGGAGGGGTGCTGAGACCTCTGCCCTATATTAAACATGCTGCAGCTTAATGCGAGTAAGCAGTTGTGGCATATGTGACACATTTGTTCCAATGTGCATGGCAGAAGTGGAAGTTATGACATTGGTGGGGCAAATAAGATTGCCCTGGATAATAAATGTTGCAATAATTTGCTGTTTTTAATAACTGTATAATGAGCCATCGCTTTGCCCTGCGAGTTGACGGAAATCTGGAATCATTAATCTTCTGGTGGGTTAGCCATGGTGTTTGGCACGGGCTGAAACAGCACTGAGTAGGAACATACTGGTGTCAAAGGACAAGCAGATCTTAATATTTTGAACAAGTTTGCCATATGTTAGACATCATGATGTGTACAAGGCTGCGAAATGGTGGCATTAATGGGTGACTTTTATTACTAAACTCGCTCCTAATTGCAACAATGCAATCCAAAGTCAACTCTCAAAGCAGGAACTCGCTTCATTTGGAGTTGCTAGGGAACACGTTAATCCCTAGAATAAATACAGTCTTCAATAAAAGCTAATTGTCTGTGACAGTCATTTGCTTTGCTGCAGAAACATTCAAAATGGGAAACTGTAAAAAGATTCAAAGTTGGAGTAGCGGTGCACCAGTTAAGCCTGCGTGGATGATCGCAGTCGTGTAGCCCCGTTATGTCGGCCTCACCTGCGGGACAGGAAACGTAGGCCCTTTGTCATAATGCTCACCTTGTGCATTAATATTGCCATGCTTTGACACACATATATTTTTGTTTAAATTTCTGGATGACAGATGGGGATATTTATGAGTCACTTGCGCTGGTAGTGTTTCAGTTGAGCTTCATTGCAGCAGGTGCAGAAGTGAACATGGGACATTTTTATCACCATCCATTACATGGAGCAGACAGGCATTTCTATACCTACCCGGCGTGGCGATTCCTAAGGGTGCCGTAACTATTGTTTTTCCTGGCCGATTCAACCCCGCGTTCTTCTGGAATGCCTAGCTGTTTCTTTTTCACTGGGATTCAAATGCAACACAAAGCCATTGTCCCTGCTCAGTCATAGGCAGAGCAACTCGCTCATACCACTCAGGATGTGACACGCAAGGGCTTTATGACCTGAAATGAATCATACTGCACACCTTAAACGCATTACAGGCTGGGCAAACATTTCCTCTAACTGGTGCTTTGAGAGCCATGGGCACAACCATTATATTGGACTCAAGAGCCAGCTGGTGAGGACAAATCCACAAGGATTCCTATTTTCCCTCTTCTGACTCTCTGGCAGCCCTGCTCCATTCATTCAATTTTTATATGTGCCCACTGCCTAGTAGCTGCGTTACTACTGGTTTCAAGGGAGAATTAATCAAAAACAGGTCTTATTAAAGTATATTAAGACCAGTTGAATGGGATATAATGTACTCAGTCAGAGCCCAGAGGGGCTTTATGTGAGCCATAGCTGACACTAGTGGCTTCTACGTGTAGGGATATGTTGTTCTGTAGTGGCACTGCATTCCTTCCTGGGGGGCTATTCGCTTAAGCCAGGTATTGCATTGTGGGTAAGCAGATTTTAAGTGGGTATGAATACAGCAGGGGGTAAAGCAGGCTCTCATTGTCCAGGAATGTTTATCCCCAACCCCTCCTTGATTCAGGGATGGATTATGCAGTAGCATGCTTCAGAAGCAACCTTTGGCTCCACTTGGAGGGTCTGTGGAAGGAATATTCATTCATACATATACACACACGTGCAAATGGTTGTTATCCTTCTAATAAGAAGCCAGGTTGATTGCTCCCTTAAGGCCCGTGGTGAGTAGGTGGAAGTGGAGCCGCTGAAGCAGGGTGTTGAGGGTAAGTCCCTGGGCTGGGCTCTTTGGGAAGACTGGAGCCAGTGATGCCCCCAGTGAGGGCAGCACAGTCATCATCTTCAGCACAGCAAATTTTATTGGGCAGTGTGTGGGTTGTAGAAACGTGTTTAATCAACTCAGCTATAGGGGAGGTCTTGACCTCATCGCAGACATTTCCAGCCCAGATTGAGCGTGCGTGTGTGCGTGCCTTTGCTGTCGAGCGTGACCTGCAGTGGAGTCAGTGGCTGACACTCTGCTCTTTGCTGGTTTAAGTGATTAACTGGAGAAAGTGATAACTGATTTGTCAGTTAAGAGTCTGAAACGAGACAGCGTTCCTCAAAGATCATGCTACAGGACTACATAAAGTGCAAGTGTGCAAAAATTGCAAAAACAGTGCAACAGCAGACTGAATGATGCAGACACAAGACAGTGCAGACACAGAAAGCGGAGCTTTCTGACTCACGGGCAGGTCAATAACCTTCAAATAACAATTACTGACTATTTGTAAATTACATTTACTATCAGATGGGCTGGCATCCCCTTTGAATTCTGATGCCTATGTTTATTTCCAGACATTTCAGCAAGTGCTGCCATCAGGTCAAGAGTTTGTAGCCCAGTAATTATGTGCTACATAAAGCTCTTTGTTCCAGTTGTGTTTGTCTTAAAGATCTAAAGTGGCTTTCTTTTGTATGATTATTATTATTTTTCTGGCTAAACGCCTTCCCCTGCAAATCAAATCACCAACAAAAAGCAGCACTGTGTGATTTCCTCATCTTACCACCCGAGAAGTTTAGTTTACACACTTAAATATCACTAGTTTAAAAGATTTATAGACGTAGTGTACTGCATTTACCGATGAACAGGGCCCTAATTGCTACCTGCCTGCACTGTGCCTCATATGTGTATGTGGGTATGAGTCAGATAAAATAAACCACATGGTGTGTGTGCCTGTCTCTGTGTGTGTAAGGAAGCTGAACAGAGCTCTGTGCACTCATTTACTATCTCCTTGTGTGGTTTGGCAGCAGCTTTGTCGGTATGGGGGCGTACAACGGGCATCCGTCTGGACGTGAGGCAAGCCTGGCATGCCTCTCAGCCCCCTGCAAGGCTGAATGAGGGTGGGATCAGAGCAGGAGTCTACCAGGCTCCAGACTGGTAGTCTGTGCATGCGTGTAAGCGAATGTGTGTGTTTTTCTTTGTGTATCTGCACTTCTGTGTGTATTGGGGGTAATTAAATTGTAATCACACAGGCTTAAACAGCAACCACAGGGTTTGCCATTGTTCTGCATGTCACTTGCAATCTGTTGACTTCTTTGCATATTGTTCCATCCATTCACAACTCTGTCAGATAGACTGCCTGCGTCTGTGTGTTCCCTAATTATTTCTACACCGGTTTAACACCGCATCATTTATTTGACCTTTGTGGTCATTATAATAGTGAGGCACGATCCAGCCATGCTGAAAGTTACACAATAGCATGCACACCACCATGGCTGGATGCCATACCTCCATGTTCTGTACTGGATAATAAGTGAACCACTGCAGAGCTGAGCCTGGTTTGCACTTGGACAGCAGACCACCCTCGGAAAATATAGCCGCCTCTGTTGTTTGTCCCTAGACACTCCCTCTTTCTGATCATCACAGTTGTTTATTGTACATAATAGTAAATACAGCATGGATAAATACATACATCATATTTTTTTAGCTGAAGATGAGAAAGTAAAGCTGCTTTTGATGGAAGCTACTCAAATCTGAGCCTCACTGGCAACATATGCCACAGCCACTGAACAGGCAGCAGTCACAGCAATGATGGCATCTGACGGGGCTAGTGTTGTGATTCTCCCCGATGTCAAACGGCATCTGTGAAAAAAAATTGAAATACGTCTGAACAATAAATACATCAAAGAGGTTTCTTCCTGTTAAAAGGGAGTTTTGCTTCCCACTGTTGCCAAGTGATTTCTCACAGAGTGTTGTTTGATTGTTTGGGTTTTCTCTGTCTTATTGTATCGTCTTTACCTTACAATATAAACCATCTTGAGGTGACAGTTGCTGTGATATGTCATTATATAAACTGAATTGAATTGAATTTTCCTGACCTAGAGTTTAATTTTCCCCAGATACTGGTGTGGGTACAGTACGTCAAGGCTGTGACAACTAGAGGTTTTAAAGGAAAGAAGAAGCCGAAATTCTACTGTGTTTTTATGTAGTGTGAGTGGCTTTAAATCCAATGTTTACTGGCACATATTTCTAGCAACAATGTGGACACCAAAATAATGAGTAATTGCAGTGTAATATAGGGTGGTTGGGGTAATGATACAGTAATACAGCCCTCTCCCCTAAAATTGCAATGTAAGATTGGGCAACACCGTTTGTCCTTTCCTCTAAAATATCTCAGTTATTAATTCCTCAAATACACTTGACGTATATTTTCTTTGTCTTTTTATCCTTTAAAACTTCAGTTTGCTACTGCTTTGTTCTGCTTCTTTGAAGTATTTTTTGGGTACTGAAAATGCACCCTAAATATAAAAAAATTGCCCTGTAAAATTACAGGATGGGTTGTCGGCTGTATTTTGAAGTGCTACTTGAAAACACTGTAGACTAGAAATTGAATGAACTCAAGCTTCATGACTTATTTTAAGTATTTGATCAACTCAGCATACCATCCATGTTTCTACTGACGTCTCTTCTTGCATTGCAGCAGGATCATCAGTGCTCTTTTCTTCCTCCATGTCTTCTACCTGTTGATTAGTTGCATACATTCAGAAACACAGTAAAACACACAGAGCTGATGAGCATTGAATAAAAAGGAATAAATCTTAATTTACATCAAGCAGGCTACTCACGGTTGTGAATGGGAAGGCAGCGTTCCCCTCAATGTAAATAGTTAGTGCGACAGCCAAGATGACTGCAGACGCGAATGTTTTCATTTTCAGCAGTTTAACTTGTCAAAGAGGTTGAATTTTTCATTTCTGCTATCAGCGCTTTTGAGCATAATGGCTCTGTTTGCTGATCATGCTGTTATTTATACAGTGTTACCTTGTCACTGGCAGTACTTTATTCCTTCTTGGGAAAGACTTGCAACACTACTTAAATGATGCTGGGTATTGTAATAGGAAATTCCCAAACAACAAAATGTTAAGTATTTTGCACTGGTGCGAACAGTATTTGTTCAATAATCTTAATTCCTTAATTCAGCCATAGTATTGAATTTTCATGAGTGCAACAGTTTAATACAGCACACAGTTTGTCACCTATATTCTGCACTATGCTACTAATACACTAATTATTATTTCAAATCAACGTGTCCAGTGCTTGGAACTTTCTTATAAGAAGATGCTAGACTGAGTGGGTTTCAAATGGATCAGTATCAAATGTCATGTAACTGTCAACTTAAACACAGAGCAAACGGCTTATCTTTAAATTTTGTCACTCTATTACAACCACTTTAATAATGTAAATCTGTTCAAGGAAATAAATTGTAGGGAAATACCAAAATCAATAATGACAGGAGTGCACGGTGTGTTTACTCTGATAAAGGTTGAAAGGGTCTTTTGAATTTTACTAAACATCTTGTGCAATAACCAAAATCCCTTATCTCCACTCTGTCTCATGTACCGTGACCTCGCTGACCTGTTAGCTTTAGCTTAATGAGCACATCTGTGTCAACAACAACAGTAGGATTATTGGCTCTGTAGGAATACATTCTGCCTTTTTAACTGTTTTTTTAGGACTATAAGGAATAATTACTTCATTTTTTGGTCTCATTTATAGTAGCTGCAAGGACCACTGCAGCTACAAATCCACCTCGAATATATTGATGAATTGATGGATGATTTCATTATTTTTAAAAAGATTCCAGCCCCTGAGGAGTAATGCTTTCAGCACTGGAGTAATGAGTGCAGTGTTAAAGTACCTGTGCAGAAAAATAAGAGCTTCTTGCAGTGTTGTCATTAATGGAGATCACACAGCTGGGATTTGTTTACCTTTTTCCTCTAAGTCCTGATAAAAGTAGTCCCCCTCTTCTCCCTCCTATGCATTACTTAATGTGATCAAGTTTAGTTTGAACACTTCACACCAATAAATGATCACTGAAAATGATCAGCTACATAACAGCCAAACCTACACTGTGAATTGTTAACCAACTTGTTAAGAACAACAAATGGAAACAAAACGAGAAAGTCTAATCCATCATCAGATCAAAAGATCTGTACGGGAAATTAAGATGTGGTCTAAAGTTTACATGCACTCATCATGGGCATGAATGTCGTGGTAACTTTGGGCTTTTAATGCTTTCTTTGAACTGTTGTTTTTCCAGGGTGGAATGATTGTACAGAAAATATCCTTAAAACAAGAATTAGTTGCAAAAGCTTGAATTTATTGATATATTAGAGCCTGTGTATATAAATATATAAATTCAATTTATGTCCATAATGAGTCTATATAAATGTTTGACAAAAAACAAACAAACTCCAGGGCTAAAAAATAAAGCTAAGATGTTAGTGCCAAAAACCACTAGCTGGTACTATTTTTCTGCTTGAAAAACAAGCCAGTCCCCGTAGACTTCCATGTTAAATTTACAAATTAACTTCTAAATCAAAAAATCCAAACAACAATGCCATAAATATAAGGTCCCAAGCATGGAGAGGCTAAAGTCTAAAGTGCTGACGCACAAATACAGACTTGGCAGGAACCAGTTTAGCTGGTTACTGCTTTCAGCTGTTGCCATCTATATAAATGTAGTTATAGCTGCATAAAGTGGATGAATCAACACTTCATAGCACATTTGCTGTCACATACCATTGGGTCCTTATACAGTGAGAAGTACTACTGAGTAACGATTGAACTGTCTATGTTATATTTATATAAAATGTTATGTAGTGCCACATAATGACTTCAAGTTATAGGCCATCCATGTAAAAATGTAACGTGAAGTAACAAATGCTAAGCAGTCAAATCATTTCATGTATAACAGTCTATACTTAGTGGTTGATGTGAGAATCGCAGGTAGATATTCTCAGAATCTGCAGCACAATCCACAGACACCAGCATTGCAGCAGCCGCAGCAAAAGCGACACTTCATGCCACGCTTCTGTCTGTGGTACGGCATCTGTGTGAAAGAGGAGAAGAGCAGAGAGTTTATCTTCAGCTGCAAGTCACTTCATTGTTTCTAATTTTATGAAAAGTTGTGAGTGCACAGTTTATTTTAAACATCTCCCTGCATTTGAGAGATCTCACAATTACTGTCTTCATTCATTTATTGAAGTAAACTCACCACCCATGAGTCAGCTGATACCTCCTGGTGTTCAGCAGCTGGACTGTCAGTGCTCACAGCCTCTTGTAGCTCTTGCAGTTCTCGTATCTGTAGAGAAAGAAAACAGATCTTAGCATCTTCACAACAAATTCATGCAGAAGAAGCACGTTACATGAATTTAACACAGTATGTAACCTCAGCAAATGTGGCAGAGCTCTGCTGAATGCAAATACACATGAGTGCAACGGCCACTGCAACTGCAACGCTGAACGTCTCCATCTTCAGGAGGTTTGAGTGGTTTAAGGTGGTCAGATCCTTTGACTCTCTCGTTGACTCTTGTCAGCTCCTTCGTGATGGTTGACTGAGGGAAACGGTGCTGGTATTTATACTCATTTGCTCCACTGCTGCCTCGTCACTTAGAGTACAGAAACTACTGTCGGGAACAGGCTTGCATCAATAGGACAGGGAAAACCCATATAGTTAAACATCCGAAGGTCAAAGTTCATGCCGACTGAGAAAAGTACAGATTTTCTCCTTCCTCAGGAATTTTCCATTCCCAGAATTTCATAGCACAGGAAAATATGGAGTTTTGCAATGTTCCTGAAATCAGGTAGAGTAAGAGCTGTGAGTGACGAGGCAGCAGGGGCCCAAATCAGTATAAATATCAGCACTTCTGCACACATTAACCATCAGACAGAAGGACTCAGCTCACAACAATCATCCGGACCAGGAGAAAGAGTCGAACTTGAGCCTCTCAAAGCCTCCTAAGATGAAGACGTTCAGTGTTGCAGTTGCAGTGGCCGTCGTGCTCACATTCATTTGTGTTCAGCAGAGCTCTGCTGTCCCAGTCACTGAAGTAAGAACTTGACTTTAACCAAGTGTATTAGCTTACAAGCTGCAAATGTTTGTTTCAGTGCTACAATGTGGTTTCTACTGCACTCAATTCATTAACAGGAGCAGGAGCTGGAGGAGCCAATGAGCATGGACTATCCAGCAGCAGCACATGAGGAGGCATCAGTGGACTCATGGAAGGTAAGTAACACTAACTGAGTGAAGGTGGCCAAATTACTTCAGCTAAATGAAAGTGTTTGTTAGAGCAGGTGAATATAAAGAGCAGTGATGCTGCTGCAGATGAACTCTGTGCTCATGTCTCTTGTGTTTCCTACAGACGCTGTATAACAGCAGACACAAGCGTGGCATCAAGTGTCGCTTTTGCTGTGGCTGCTGCACCCCCGGTATCTGTGGAGTTTGCTGCAGGTTCTGAGGATTCCTGCTCCAACAACCACTCAGCATTAACAAACTGTATGTCACAGTTAATGTGTGAGATTATACTGTTTTAGTAACATTGTGTCCTCAGTTACTGCATCAACTACATGCTTGTATTACACAGTTTATCACAATAAACTTTATGGTCATTTAGATATAATGTGGATTTTTGTTGTCATTTTAAATGTCGTATTTTCCTTTGTTACATTTGTAAAACTGACTGCTATGCACCGTCCATCCATCAATTCATCCATCAAAGCTGCCATAGGGCTACAGGCAGGGTATATCCTGGACAGTGTTAACACATAGAGAGAAAAGCATTCATGATCACAGTAACCCCTGTAACTGATTCAAAATCACAATTTAACCAAACACCAAAGTGTTCTGACATTTGAGGGGAGACTCTCCAAAATATTCTATTTTTATTTCAAACACATACGCAGTTGGTTATATATGGTTAAAATGATTCAAATGCAGTAAATATATACATTTTTCATATAAATAGAGTCCATAACTTGATTATTGTCTGTAGCCCACATAATTAAACACTTTAGTTAGATAAAACATGTGAGTTTTGATGTTATGTACTGTATAGCCTGTGTAATAAATAAAGATGTAGCCCAATAAGTATAAAATCCAGAAAGCTACACGACATGGGGCAGTTCATTTACAAACACAAGTGTAACTTGAGTTTCACACTGTTTTTGTTAGAAAATAATCAAATTGTTAAATGCTTAAAGTACACAAAACGTCAGAAATCTGCACTGTCATGAACAACAATGTAAACCTAATTTTTGGATTAACCCTCCGAAGTCTGAATCCCAGCTTGTGCACATCAACCTCACTGATTTGCACAAATACAGTTTATAATGAAGACATGTTAAATATTAAGCACTGAAAACAGTTTGGTTGTTGTTGTTTGGAACGTCATTTAATGCATGTTGTTTTGTTGCCATAGTGATGCCTCCAGGGGAAAATTAGGGAGCAGAGCAAGAATAAGACTGTGGATATATGTTTTGATAGCTTTGGGTTCTCTTTGTTTTTGCCTAACAATCATAAAGAAATGTATTATATTTTGTGTGTGTCCTCATTATTGAGCTTTAATCCTGCATAAAGGCCAAGATGAATCTCTTAGAGTAGAACTTTACAGTAACTATTAGAATAAAAAAAAAACACACATTGACTGCTTTAGTTTTTAAGATTCACTTCTGTCTTAAGTATTTTTTGTCTCCATATAAGATATCAAAATCTGTGCATACAACTTGATGTAAAAAGAATCTATGTACATTCCGCAGTCTATGATGCTAGAATGGCATCGCAGCATTTAAACATGTTTTGAATGAAAACATCAGCATATGAAAACAAAACTGAAGAGACACTGCAACCGTATGAAGGAAGACGACTATTTAGTGAAATTTCTACATTTCCCTGAGGATTAACTGCTCTGTAACTTACCAAGAACTAAAGTAAGTTCAAATTTCATTTTATAGACTTAAGATCATTTACTTAAATATAAAGCCTGATTTTCCTGCCTGCCAGGACAGTATTTCTGTACTTTACATTGTGCAAGTCTAGACTATATTTTACATCATAGAGAGGATGATGTGGCTCTATTATTCAGGAAAACAAATGAAGACTTAACTATTTGTCAGCTGTTGTAATATTTGACAAATTATACATAAATTAGAAAATGTTCTTAATCATATCTTAGAGTGACAGAAGCTCTGCTGTTAATCTTAGTATCTGCAGTTTTTACACGCTTACATAAACACATGCAGTTACTGTCCCTCCATTTAGAAAGACAGAGGCATCAGAGTGAGCATCATTCAACACAGACGCTCTCACAACACAAATCCTGACGTCGGTTTGCAATAAATGTAATTTAAAAAATTTACATTCATGTATGCTATATGCATTTTGTCCATTCCAAAGTTGTGAGTCTATACCAGCCAAAATGCTGTCTTTAGCTATTAACATTTGAAATGATGAAGGCACTTGAAAGTAACACAACATTAGCTGCCTTTCCAGAAAAAGACAAAAACCTTTCAGAAGTATAGTATGTAAGGTTTTGTGAGGTTTTCCTCCCAGGCTTCTAGACTTCTGATTGGCCAACATTTCTACACGGTTAGGATTTGGCATGTTCCTGACTTTTTTTTTAGGGTTTACATGTGGAAGGAGATATTTTTTCAAAACTGCACATGTGGACGGGGGTTTTTTTAAACGAAAAAGGAAAATTTCCGTTTACAAAAGTGCCCGTGTACGTGTGGACGTAGCCTAAAGTTATCACAAAAAAAGCAAATTCGCTGAACATTCTGAGTTGTTTAGTGATCATTGTTGTTTTCTGTTCCTTGTAGTCAAAATGAATGGAAGCGGAGATGGATCACAAAATAACCGTAATGGTAAGCACATGCACTCAGTCGTAAAATTGATGAAAAACTGATTTTCAGCAGATGTTTATGAATGCTAATTAAAAGATAAAATGATCTTGCAGGCCGACAGGTTAACCCAGAAATGTTTCCAAGAGGAGATCAGGAGCCAGCTTACGAACCTGTTGGTGGAATCTGGGGTTTACTGGAAAGACTTTATGTTACTCTCTATGATATCTTTTTTTGGAGGCTGACTGAGCTACTAGATGAATTAGAGGATCGATATGATGTCTTATATATTGACTTTCACAATGTCAATGACGGCAATGTCAACAATGTAAACAATCACAATATTAATGTGAGAGACAATGATGCCAATGTTGACAACAATGAACTGCATGATGATCAAAATGCTGTTGTTGTTGTCGGCATTGAAAATGACGATTCTGATGAGGCATTTGAAGACTGTGAGGATGTTCACCCGTACATCCCAGAAGAGGATCCTCAGCCAGGTGTATCCAGGAAGAGGTCTAGAGAGATGGATGTGGAAGATGTGGAGCCCAACAAAAGAATCAGATGGAGCGAGGAGTTTTCTGATGATGACTCTGACTTCATCTCTGCCTGTGATACTGATAGCGAGGGCTGTCCTCATCTTGGTAATATTGCTGATGAGGTACCGCTGTCTGTTGGATCCACGAAAAGGTCCAGAAAGGAAGATGGAGATGAAGAAGAGCCTAATAGCAAAAGATCCAGGCTCGCAAACTCTGATTCGGGGACCAGCTCAATTGTGTATGATCACTCTGAGAGCAGTAGTGATGAACTCTTTGAAGATGCCCATGAAGAGACTGACAACCATGAAACTGGAGGCTCGAGGAAAAGGTCCAGAGAGGATTTGGAAGAAGAAGAGGAATGCTTGCGCGTTTGCAAATTTCGGAGGTGTTCAAATGAGTCCACCAGCACCCGTGATGACAACTAACACTATTTCAACGGGATTTTTCTGTATCCTTTTAGTAGGCTGATGGCCTACTCAGGTGACCCTGAATCCTCCCTTGGTTTTGCTGCCATAAGTTGGGCATACACTGTGCAATTTTTTCAGTCGCGTTATTCAGCTCCTGTTCAAACTCTCCGATTGACTCGTAGGGGTTAGAAGTTCGTAGGTCACGATACAGGGTCTCATACTATACGGCCCGATGCTCTGTGCAACCTGAGTGCTCACACTGTTCGTCCATAGCATGAAGGTTATGACACAAAATTTTACACTATTTTCACGGTTGTTGTGGTTGCGATAATTTTGTGAAGTCACATCGAAAAGGCTCGGATGAGCTTGGCAGTTCTACAAGTTGTGCCTCCATCGCTTGTGTCCGGATCACACGCTGCACTGCCGTGCTGTTCTGTCTTTTCGCTTTCATCTCTGTGTTTGCGCGTGCGCAGTGAGAGACGCTGCGTTGACACCCTCACAACAGCCGACAGGATTTCAAACAGGTTTGATTTTCTTACGACCAAATGACTGATGATCAGGAGCTGATCGTGAGGTGTTAATCACTTCTCGTTACCCCATGTATACGATGCACGACACACGATTAAGGCCAAACTCGGGTCGATCCCCAAAACAGTTGCACGACTGAAAAATCGGCTCAAAATGGGCCAAAAATCGCACAGTGTATGTCCAGCATTAGGCGTAGGCTGCTGGGGGATTCCCATGATGCACTGGGTGTTTCTTCTTCACCCACTATGTGTTAATAGACCTCTCTGCACTGAATTGTACTTGTTGTTAACCTCTGGCTCTCTTCCACAGAATGTCTTTATCCTGTTTTCCTTCCCCCTCCCCAACCGGTCGCAGCAGATGGCCGCCCCTCCCTGAGCCTGGTTCTGCTGGAGGTTTCTTCCTGTTAAAAGGGAGTTTTTCCTTCCCACTGTCGCCAAAGTGCTTGCTCATAGGGGGTCATTTGATTGTTGGGTTTTTCTTTGTAAGTATACCTTACAATATAAAGCACCTTGAGGTGACTGTTACTGTGATTTGGCACTATATAAAAAAAATTGAATTGAATTTAAAATTTGAATGGATGTGACTGTGTAGATTCCAAATCCAGCATGTCCAAATTAACACTGTCGGATTTGATTTCAACACTATTAAAGTGTCTATATGGGTCCACACCAGAGAGTGTTAATTTAACTCTTTTTGGAGAGTTGGTACGTTAACTCTGATTTAGTGTTAAACACCAAATCTGTCTGGAGTTGATAATTTAACACTTGGTGTTAAGAGTTTATATATTAACTCTCAAAAGAGTATTTTAGTTTAACTACGTAAGAGTTATCTTCTAATTCATTCTAAAAAGCGGGAATTTTACTGTTCTGAACTTCTAGAAATTTCTTTTGGAAATAAACATTTACTAAAAGACGCAATGGTTTTTGAAAAACATTTATTCTGAATTGTGCACCACAATTTCAAAACATTGTCTGAAAGATGTAACAGTGTACATGTTCTCACTTTCATTAGAATTTTGTTTATTAAAAGGTCTGACATAGGTGAGCTGGTAAATGCAAATAACAGCATTCTCATTACTTATTTCTTCAATACAATATGCATGTCCTTCATTCATCCCTTTGTGGAACTTCAACGCACTTCTGCTCTCCCCCATATTCCATCTTCACAAGCATATCCTATGTGGAGACTGAATAAAAATTAGTTGACACTAATTAATGGTACAAATAATCCAGTAATCAATTGCAGCACAGTAAAAAAAAGGAATCCTTTTTGAGCCATTATTTGTGTAAAGTATTTTCCCAAAAGACAAGGACACAGGCAACAGGTAATACTGAACTAAATGCACATGGTTAAACTATTTATAAGAATTTGTTTAAAGAGATGGAATGGAGAACGTGGCTGCAGCTAGGAGTGTCAGCAGAGAGCAGGAACCAGAGGAAAAGCTATCGAGAGACTGATCACCTGGGTTGTGATGGGAACAGTCCAACGGGAATTCTGCATCAATCAGTCAGCGTAATGCCTAAAAGTTTATTCTGATGTAAATATATTAAATTCTTAAAATGAAGAATATGAAAAAAAATCATCAGTGTTTTTAACGACACTGCATTTCATTCATGTGTCTCTATTGGACAGTGTTGTAGAAGTTACAGGAGATAGGAATCAGTTCCACCTTGGCCTGACGTTTGATCACGTTTGGTTGTACTGGCTTTGAGCCTGTTTGTGATACGCTACATCCACATGATACAGCTACTCTAGCTTTTTTTGAAGTGTCGTGAAATATTTTGCTTAAATGTTCTGCAGAACGGATGCAGCGCACATACAGTACAGATATTATCTGAAACAGCATTACACAGTGTTACACCTACTTTACAGTTTCACCACAGTGCAACGTCTCTCAGTATTGTTGAGATGTTTTCTATTATTATGTCCAGTATCAAATTTCTGCTGTACGCAAATCTTTCTATTCTCTCTTTTTCTTCTGTGTGAGGGATTCCTGCATTAATCATGCAGCTTAGAAACTTCATATGCACACCGTGAAAACACCTCCAAATAAATTCAGTGAAAGGTTGTCGAGATAAGGTTGTCTAAAACATTTATGAATGAACTTGTATAGAAAGTGTTTCTAGGAAACATTATCTAACACTTCTACATTCTTTAAAAAAAAGTATGCTTGGTTTAACTTTCAAATAACCAATGAACCAGTCCATCAGCTCAAAGCTATTGTACATTACTGCATTTTTGTCATAATTAGTGGTAAAATTGAATGATGATGAGATGCTCCCCACTCATATAATTACAAATATGGGAAAATATGCTCACTTTACTTTTGCTATCAATGGCTTGGCTCTATTAACAGGTTGTACCACATACGACATGGCAAGAGTATGAGGCAACAACTCTTAACTGACATCAGCACAAAAACTGTACATCAGGAGCTTCATGTCACTGGTTTCCATTAATGTTTAATTCTTGTCAGACAGAAACAGAAACAGACAGCACATGTTGTAGTATAGTGACTCTGAACTTTTTAATATAATAACATACTGTAGTTCCAAATGCTTGGTACACTGTTCACTGATACAGCAGGATGACCAGATGAAGAAACACTGTCAGACTTTAACAAATGCTAAGCAGTCAAATCATTTCATGTATAACAGTCTATACTTAGTGGTTGATGTGAGAATCGCAGGTAGATATTCTCAGAATCTGCAGCACAATCCACAGACACCAGCATTGCAGCAGCCGCAGCAAAAGCGACACTTCATGCCACGCTTCTGTCTGTGGTACGGCATCTGTGTGAAAGAGGAGAAGAGCAGAGAGTTTATCTTCAGCTGCAAGTCACTTCATTGTTTCTAATTTTATGAAAAGTTGTGAGTGCACAGTTTATTTTAAACATCTCCCTGCATTTGAGAGATCTCACAATTACTGTCTTCATTCATTTATTGAAGTAAACTCACCACCCATGAGTCAGCTGATACCTCCTGATGTTCAGCAGCTGGACTGTCATTGCTCACAGCCTCTTGTAGCTCTTGCAGTTCTCGTATCTGTAGAGAAAGAAAACAGATCTTAGCATCTTCACAACAAATTCATGCAGAAGAAGCACATTACATGAATTTAACACAGTCTGTAACCTCAGCAAATGTGGCAGAGCTCTGCTGAATGCAAATACACATGAGTGCAACGGCCACTGCAACTGCAACGCTGAACGTCTTCATCTTCAGGAGGTTTGAGTGGTTTAAGGTGGTCAGATCCTTTGACTCTCTCGTTGACTCTTGTCAGCGCCTTTGTGATGGTTGACTGAGGGAAACGGTGCTGGTATTTATACTCATTTGCTCCACTGCTGCCTCGTCACTTAGAGTACAGAAACTACTGTCGGGAACAGGCTTGCATCAATAGGACAGGGAAAACCCATATAGTTAAACATCCAAAGGTCAAAGTTCATGCCGACTGAGAAAAGTACAGATTTTCTCCTTCCTCAGGAATTTTCCATTCCCAGAATTTCATAGCACAGGAAAATACGGAGTTTTGCAATGTTCCTGAAATCAGGTAGAGTAAGAGCTGTGAGTGACGAGGCAGCAGGGGCCCAAATCAGTATAAATATCAGCACTTCTGCACACATTAACCATCAGACAGAAGGACTCAGCTCACAACAATCATCCGGACCAGGAGAAAGAGTCGAACTTGAGCCTCTCAAAGCCTCCTAAGATGAAGACGTTCAGTGTTGCAGTTGCAGTGGCCGTCGTGCTCACATTCATTTGTGTTCAGCAGAGCTCTGCTGTCCCAGTCACTGAAGTAAGAACTTGACTTTAACCAAGTGTATTAGCTTACAAGCTGCAAATGTTTGTTTCAGTGCTACAATGTGGTTTCTACTGCACTCAATTCATTAACAGGAGCAGGAGCTGGAGGAGCCAATGAGCATGGACTATCCAGCAGCAGCACATGAGGAGGCATCAGTGGACTCATGGAAGGTAAGTAACACTAACTGAGTGAAGGTGGCCAAATTACTTCAGCTAAATGAAAGTGTTTGTTAGAGCAGGTGAATATAAAGAGCAGTGATGCTGCTGCAGATGAACTCTGTGCTCATGTCTCTGGTGTTTCCCACAGAAGTTGTATAACACCATACACAGGCCTGGCATCAAGTGTCGCTTTTGCTGTGGCTGCTGCACCCCCGGTATCTGTGGAGTTTGCTGCAGGTTCTGAGGATTCCTGCTCCAACAACCACTCAGCATTAACAAACTGTATGTCACAGTTAATGTGTGAGATTATACTGTTTTAGTAACATTGTGTCCTCAGTTACTGCATCAACTACATGCTTGTATTACACAGTTTATCACAATAAACTTTATGGTCATTTAGATATAATGTGGATTTTTGTTGTCATTTTAAATGTCGTATTTTCCTTTGTTACATTTGTAAAACTGACTGCTATGCACCGTCCATCCATCAATTCATCCATCAAAGCTGCCATAGGGCTACAGGCAGGGGATATCCTGGACAGTGTTAACACATAGAGAGAAAAGCATTCATGATCACAGTAACCCCTGTAACTGATTCAAAATCACAATTTAACCAAACACCAAAGTGTTCTGACTTTGAGGGGAGACTCTCCAAAATATTCTATTTTTATTTCAAACACATACGCAGTTGGTTACATATGGTTAAAATGATTCAAATGCAGTAAATATATACATTTTTCATATAAATAGAGTCCATAACTTGATTATTGTCTGTAGCCCACATAATTAAACACTTTAGTTAGATAAAACATGTGAGTTTTGATGTTATGTACTGTATAGCCTGTGTAATAA